GAAGTTCAGTGAAACCTGAATGTGGTATGACATAAGGTCAAAGGGTCTATTAGAACATTCAGGACCTCAAACAATAGACTAAGTGAGGAGTTTAGATTTTATTCAAAGTCCAGGGAGAAGTCACCTAGATCTCAGGTGGGTGTTCTGTTGTTCCAAGTATTTACAGAAAATTCCAGTCCCAGACAAGCTTCTTGCTTTTTAAGAAGTTACTTTCTAAAGTCCTGAAGCCTTTCCTAATTTTGTGGGGTGGAACTGTCCAGACCTATTGGGCAAGTTAAGTACAAGCTGACCACTGATGATGACGCAGGGTGTTAGTTAAGGGAAGTGGAAGGAGCACTGACTGTCACTTGTTTATCTTAAATTTTGATAACAGACCTCAATGTTGAAATAGGACTCTGTGTACGTGGTGGAGGAGAGTAAGGTAATAAATGGCTACTGAAAAAGAATTAAGTTGTTGAGAATTGCCTTTTTAGAAACAGTGGATTTCAATAGGACAAACCAGTGTGCTTTATTTCCCTAAAAATTAGAGACCCATATTTGTGTTACTCTCCATTACTATACTGTTTTTTGGAGACTTCATCTGTCCTTTTTGAGGAGAAATTTTACTTGGTTGGAAGAAAATGATGAGGAAATATGAAAGAATTATCCAAAAAGATGAAAAATATCCCATTAAGAAAATCATTGGGTATAAACAAATACCTAACATCCAGTGGATAGATGAATAGTTCTTGTCAGTAAGTATAAATAGAAGTATGGAGACCTATAAAGTCATAAGATATTATCATCAGCAAAATGCAATTGGCTTTTAAAACTCCTTTGTGAATTACTGGTATTTTTAAAGTTGACCAAATAATATGAATGCACGTTTATTATAAAAGGTTCAAAGCACATATGAAATAATTTTCAAAAGTCTTCCTTCACATTCCTCTCCTCCCACAACTTCTTCTCCAGAAGTAACCACTATTAAAAGGTTGATATATATCTATATCTGTGTAGTATTTTATATGTATATACATGTTAGTGTACATATATATGTGACCCTTATATATGGGGATCCTTATATATATAAGAAGAAAATATAAATGGGGTCATATTATGCACATTGTCCATGTATCTTTCCCTCTACTTTGTCTTAAAGATCTTTATGTATATAACTGTTTATTTTATATTTTCTAATAGGAGCAGAGTACATGAAATTAAATTATTATAAGCTTTAGCCACTTCTGACTGATACACATTTAAAACTTCCATTTTTCCCAATTAAAGATAGTGCCACAGAAACATTTTGTGCTGTTCTCTGCACATGTAAGAGTACTTCTATAGGGTAAATTCTTAAACTAGAATTCCTGTTATGCATGTTTTAAATTTTAATACTGTCAGATTACCTTACTAATGAAGTTTTATTGATTTATATTTCTACAAAGTGCTGAGTCCATTTACTTCTAACTTTGTCACCACTGGAAATTACTAATTTTTATTTTTTGTTTATTTGGTGGACAAAAACCAGTGTCTAACATTTGGTTGAAATTTTACTTTTCTTATTAGTAATATGTTTGAACATCCTTTAATAAGTGTATTGATGATTTATATTTTTAAAAAATTATCTTTTCACAGATTTTGCTCATTTAAAAAATACTTTTCTGCAAAGTATAATTTTAAGAACTCTTTATATATGATAGCCTTTAATCAATTGTATATCACAAATAATTTCTTGCTATTTGCCATTTAGCTTTAACCTATGTACAAATAGCTTTCATTGAACAGAAGTTTTTAATCTTTATTTTGTTAAGCATCCCTGGGTATTTATGTATTGTTAGGAAAACCATTCCCAATCTAATCTTACTATAATATCCTATGTTTTCTGCTGTTATTTTATATATTTAAAATTATTTTGACATTTATCTCCATAACATAAAACAGTTCTCTTAGAATGCAAATGTACTTCAGTTAAACCCTTTTCACCATTGTCTTGATAAATTCATGAAAAGAGGTTGCTTTAAAATAGTTTTAGACACATCCAGAATCAGGGATCCTTTGTCTACTGATTACACTTATTACTTTGTGTGTATGCTTAAAGAGAATTTTTAATGTTAGAATTTTTAGCCCTTTAAAAGAGAGCCATGTGTATTGAAATCGGGGTACTTATTAGTGGTGCGATGCTTTCCTATAGAGGGACTAAGTAGGCTACTGTTCTTCGCACAGTGTTCGTTAATTAAAGTTTTATTTTGTAACCCAGGGATACCATGTGGTATGAGGAAGAACACTATATAAAGCAATTAAAAGCAGAACTGCTATGTCTGAAGTCAAGACTCAAAATCTCAGAATCCTCCTCTCACGCCTTCTTCTTTGTCCCCCTCTTCCCTTCTCCCAGTAACTGAAAGGATCTCCTTATAATGTGAGGAGTGCAGTTTTAAAATTATTGTAGAAACCGTCTCCTAAAGACTTAAACTTCTCTGCACTTACAGACCATTTTGTATAGTCCATTGACAAGTCCATAAACAGAGGTCCTTTAGAAAACCAATCCACATCCATATCATCTCCAAATGATCTACGTATTACTGTACTTTATACCTTCAACATGGACCCTCTTAGAAATTCATCTCTTTCATATGCCTTCCATGCTCAAGAGTACTTTCCTCAAACCCAAAGTAGATTAAAAAGTAGAATTTTTAAAAATGCAATTCATGATGATTCTATGTGATAAGTTACACCAAATGAAAGTATCAAGATGTTTACTTTTACATTTAAAAGAAGGCTTGAAATTATCTTATTAAGTGGATTTGCGAAAAACTGATCTAGGTAATCTATTTAAGGCCTCAGATGAATTCAGTGGCTTAATCTCTTGGATGATATTCTAATATACTCATAGATTCATGATTTGACTGGATTAAACTTCAATAGTTCAGAAAATTGCTTCCTTGTACTTGTGTTAACAACATGATGGATATGATTTATTGTTAACTAATATTTATATTAGGTTTAAAGTTTTGTGTGCATGTGTGCTGTTTTAAATATGTATGTCACAACTCTAAACTAATATTTGGTTTGCATCCACTTTGGGATTTCTAACACAGGGTCTTCATGGCTTTTTTCCCTGCCCTTTCCTGAGCTGGCTGTTTTCCAGAGCCAGTTCTGACTGTAGGGTTTTAGTTTATGCTTTTCTGGAAGACCGCTCCTCCATGGGGAATAGTCAGAGAATTCCAACAATCCACACAGAGTGGGGAACACGGAAACACCCATCCACCAGCCCAGTCACTCAAACACACTGAGAAACAGGGCAAAGCAGTTGTCACAGTTAATAAGCTCTCATATGTGAGAGTAACCTTACCAAATTAAATTTACCTTATATAAATTCAAACATAAAATATTCAAATATTATCTGTGTGACTTTAACCCATCTCCTACATCAGTCCAGGCAGCTACATAACGGCTTCGGTGCAAATAAAAGCAAAAAGCCAAAATAAACAGAATGAGCAAAACAAAAGCACAAAAACAAAACTCTATAATATTCCAGGAAGCCAAATAAAGTCTTCTTATGCAAAAAAAGAAAAATAGCCAAAAATAAAAGGAATGAAAAAACGCTCAGCAACTATTAAAATCAGAAGGACAAGAGGAATCCTCCTTATTTTCTGAGTAACCACTTGCTCCCATATCTACCCTAATGAATAGATGGGTTGGGCTAATGGTGACCCAGGCTCTGACCACGCCTTGCAAGCATATCTTGGTAAATGACAGCGAAGATTTTCACATGCGTTCTTGCCTTTATACTACTCTGTGGTAGATGAGGGCATCCTTGCTGTATGCCCACACATTTGCTCATGGATCGGGCAGTTCATAGGGAATTAGTCATTTTTGTTAAAGCTTTTCCTTTTCAATTCTTATTACTTGAAACAAAACTCCATAGTAACACTTCATGTTGTACCAAGTGGTAAGTGTAGACTATTTTATGAACAGTGTGTCAACTATAAAGCACTGTTAACTCAGAAGATTTTGCTATTTTTACATTTGGCAGGTTCTGCTTGAGCTGAATTTACCTTGATTTCCATTTTAGTTTAAAGACTTTCTAACTCTTTTAAATTCTACTATTGACCCTCAAAATGATTTTGAAAATCATACTTTGCTTTTCAGACAATCTGAAACTTCTCTTTTTGATTTTTGTTTTGATTCTTTTTTCTACTTATGTCCCCTGCTCCTCCTCTGAAAGCAGTGCTCTCAAAACTGCATGTCCTCAACCCGAGCCAGAACAAGCACCTGTGATCTTGAGTACCTCATGAGAGTGCCCTTGGCCCATATGTGCATACAGGGACAACTGGCGACATTCTTGTGCCACCTTGGTTTGCCTGCTACCATCCTGCCCTCTCCATTCCTCCCCCTGGACCACTTGCTGGTATTGCAGCAAAGTCTACTCTAAAATATGGCCAACTTTGTGCTCTAAATGTGTTGGTCTTCTCCTCCCCTTGTTCCTTGTAAAGATGATGGATAATTTTAGCCAGGACAAAGTAGTTAAAGGACAACCAGGAGAATGCTGAATGGTTACAGCCCAAGTGGCGCATATAATGTCTTTCAGAGGAACATTAATGAGCTACAGTGTACTTTGGGGAAAGTACATTACAAGGACTTCGTGAGAGAACATTATGACCAGACCCTGTAATTCTTGCTTATATTCACGAGAACTGAATGTTCGCACATCCTGCCTTTTACATTGCTCTGTTCATATTAAATAGGAAAATGGATGGGAAACAAATGGCAGAACTAGGGGAAGTTTTTCTTTCTTCCTTAAAAAAAAAAAGACAGATGGTGTTTTGAACACAAGTTGCCATAGAACATGAACACATAAGAGTTCTGACTGTTTGAAGGGGGAAAAATAAGTTGATTCTTTTTCAATGGTGAAAAGTAGCTTTAGGTTCAAAGGAAAAAAAAACACAAAAATGGGAGTGAACTGTAAGATAGGGTTTCTGTAACGAGTACCTCAAACCACAGAAGTCACATGGGCTCTTTCTGCTTTGCTACTTCTGATTACTTGTCAGAGGGTTTTACTTTTAGCTTCCCTCATCCTGCAAGGCCACTCAACCATGTACCAGCTGGAGTGATCTTTATTCACAATGTCTTTACAAAGGCTCATGCAACAGAGCAGCAATGGCAATTTGGCGGACTACTGCGCTGGTCCAGCATATAGCTCTTACCCCACACTTACTGGCAACTTTTCCATGGATGATAACAGAAGGATTCAAATGCTGGCTGACACTGTGGCTACTTTGCCTCGGGGACGGAAGCAGCAGGTATGATCGCTATTTTGTAACTTTTAGAGTGTTCATGTTCTGATGAGAGCAGAGTGATGTTTGTGGGACTTCATACAGAAATGCTACCTTTTGGTCATCTAAGAGTAGGAGAGAGGAAGGAGGTGAGATGCACAGACAGTATAGTGGACTAGTCTAAACATTTAAGAGCATAACAAAACTTTCTTTGTCATGACAATATTTAAAAGAAGACTGCTTTTCTCATTTGAAGAGGTGTTCAAGTGAAACAGAAATCATTAAGCAAAACAAACTTGAAGATGAGTTTGAGAATTCTTGACCTTTTCCCCCATATGTGCTCCATTGGTTCTTCTCACTACCAGTCCTAGAGAGTCATATAGTTTTTTTGAGACAAATTTTGTGGACTAAATTATCTTTAGCTTTGAAGCATGGCACAAGATTTTTATTGGGTAAGTAAGTGCCAGGTTGAAACCAGCTCAGTCACTTAATAACTGAGGGATCTTGAGCAAGTCACTTGCCTCTGTAAGATTCAGGTTTCTTTTTTCTACAGTGAAGATAATAATAGAACCACCCTATGGGGTCTTGTGCTGTGTAAGTGAGGAAACATGCAGTGCTTAGCAACGAGACTGAAATGTAGTATATGCTCAATAATTAGGCTATTAATTTTATTTTCACTGCTAAGAATTTCCCTAGAGAGGGAAACACATTTGGAAAAATCCATGTCTAACTGAATTTATTGTGATTTTTTTTAATGCTTCGACTTCCAATTTCAAAAAAATAAAATTGAAACCATAACACCCCTTCATTTATATAACCTGCTCTACTGCCCCAAGTTACATATCTGAATTTAGATATAGCACTTGTACAGAAAATACTTAGAAATGCTTTAAAGCATAATTTTTTGGACTTAAACATTGCAAGTGCATCATGTGCTCGCTCCACTTAAGCCTTCTAATTTCAGGATTAGAGAGTTGGAGCACAGTGGCAGAGTCATGATCTTTCCTCAGTGATATGCATAGCTGATTCCTTTGGATTTTTCACAATGATAAGAAGGGTATCATTGGCCTTGCTTTGGATTATCAATCTTTTCAATCCCAAAGTGCTTTTATGACATTAAGTTTAATGTAATGATGAGCATGTCCATCAATTTACTGCCTGCTTGAAAATAAAGAAACTCTGGGAAATACCAAAATCTTTGCTCAGTTTTCAGATGAAGAACATTATAGGAGGGACAAAGATGAGAAGAACATGTCTCCTGTCCTTACTGGGTTTATGATAAAGTAGGCAGAATGAATAGGTGTTATACGAAGTAAAACAGCATAAATGCTTGAATCCAACTATGTGTCTTTGAATACAATCTTGAAGGAGAAATATTCCAGATACTGGGTATTCCAGAATGAGGGAATAATTAATGTTGAAGCACAGATCTTGGGACCTTTAAGGGGAGTTTAGGTAATGGCATATTACTGGGTCAGGAGGACCCAGGGTCTGTGTGAGCGGTGAGGGGAGACCTGAGTTGGGCAGCTTTATGAAAACACTTGGACACTTCCCCTGAGGAAGCAGTGATTTGAGCAGCACAGGGAGCCACTGAGTGTGCTTGAACAGTAGAGGACTTAGGAACTTTATTCCAGAAATGTGGTCTGTCAGTATGTGGGTAGAGACTAGTGGTGAGAGAGCAACTTCTGCACTATTTGGAGAAAGAAGAAATGGAGGGGGTAGAAAGGAGACCCAAAGTCTTGAACACTAAAGGCAGTGAAAATGGAGGAGTGACATCTGGCTTTAAGGCTGAGTGAAGATGCCATGAACTGCAAAAAGGCCATCCCTGAAGGTGACTGGAAGGAGGTAATGAGTGAGAGGGGTTTAGGCATATGAAATGCACACAAGGATGTGTGTCTGTTTACATGTGTGTAATATATATGCTTACACACATATACACACACATTCCAACACCAATTAATTTATATGTGCGTTCTTATCTTTTCTAGATCTTCTCTTTCCCCTTTTCTCATGTTCTTTCTCACGGTAGATGCCTCCTAGTCCAATAGTTTTTTCTTACAGTTGTGGGAATTACTTGAAAGAAAAATAAAGGCAAAATAAAGCTTTGTGTACACGATATTTCTGATTCTATACAACTATCATCAATGAGATCTGATGCAAGTTTATTCAACATTTCACAATTTCCCAAAAGGATGTTCATTTCCTTGAACTGGTTTTTAGATACCAAGCACCCATTTGGCAGGCAATCAGACCTCTGTGAGGCCACGGGTAGGTGTTTCTCTGCCTACGGTTATTTTCAACGCTTTCAGGGTTGACATCAACAATCCATAATTCTCATTATTGTTGGCTTTGGTTTCTGTACAGCTTTATCTAGTTAGCCTGTAGTTTCAGATTAATCTTTAGAATAATTTGGGTGCTACACTCAGAATTGCTTAAAAATAGATTTCTGTGTGTGCATATTATCTTAGCACTTGAATTTGTAGGAGGTGACAGACACTCTAGTACAGTACCTATTTCTGAACATAGCTTTAAAAGAAAAATACCTGCAATAGAAAATACTGTAAGAAGGAGACTGGGGAGCATAAGGATAGTCTTCAGAAATGCTGTAATGCCCCAGAACTAGGGTTGCTCTTCGCAAACAGCTTTTACCCAATGCTGTAGTAGGGCCAGGGACCTGAAAGGGGAGAAGCTTGAATATGTGTTAGTGGTATCACAAACTGGGTCTCTTGGCCTGATTTTCTTTTGGTTATCAAATTACAGTTGATCCTTGAAAAACATGGGGGTTAAGGGTGCTAATAGTTGAATATCAGCATATAAATTTTGACTCCCCCAAATCTTAACTATTAATTGCTTACTACTGATAGGAAGCTTTACTGAGGACATAAACAGCTGATGAACACATATTTTGTTGTAAGTTACATGTATTATATAGTTATTCTTACAATAAAGTAATCTAGAAAAAAGAAAGTATTAAGAAAATCATAAGAAAAAAATACATTTACAGTATTTAAAAAATTTTTTTCATGTAAGTGGACCTGCACAGTTCAAACCCATCTTGTTCAACTGTATTACTAAACTAGCAACTTCTGGAAGGGAATTTTACATAAAGCTTCAGATACAGAATATTGCACTCAACATTTGTGGCCACACACCCATCTGTTACCAAACTCCCAAGTGCTCCTAACTACAACAAGGTATTTTGCTCATTTAATGACGAATCCTTTTTGGTAGAATACTGTTAATTTCACCACAAAAGACTTTGGAAAGTGTTCTCTAATCCATATTGTTGCACATTGGGAGTCAAGCCCTGACAGCTCCCCCTGAAAAAGAGGTCCATGAGCCCAAATGAGACTTCCCTGGGAAGCAGCAACCCCCTTTGGTTTCTTAAGGGGCGCTTACAATTTAAGCAATTGAGTTCAGCACCTTTATTTTGCTGAATCTTAGAATCAACTGTGCAGCCCTGTTATCCCAAGAATCTTGATGTAAAAGGAAAAAGAAAGCAAGCTGTATTTGTGGAGGAACTGGGGAGAATGAGGCAGAGGACTGGAAAGGGAGCAGAACACATGGTTTGGGGAGTTTGTAAACAAAAACAGAGAACCTCGCCTATGAAGAAGTATCTTCCCCTTCTCCCTTCCCCCAACACTTTCAGGAAATGAGTACAGAGTGGGGACCAGGAAGTAACAGTCTGTTACTTAACAGCAGAAGAACCTACAGTATTGACCTTCAAGCTCCTCTGAGCCTGGTAGGCATGCTGGCTGAGCTAACGGTCATTCCCTCTTTCTCAAATTGACAGCTGAAGTATTTGGTCTCGGTTTCTCACTAAAAAGGGGCATTGTGAATCTCTGGAGAGCAGGAACAATTACATCTTGAATATTAATGCCTGATTTTTAAGTCCTTTGACTAAAACTGAAATAAGGGGGATCATAAACTCAACCCCAGACATCTTTATATTAATGGCTAGCAAAAGAGGTTAAAGAGCTTCGTGTACTGAGCAGTCACAAGTGAATTGCCAAATTGCTAAACCTAGCTTTCTCATGTTAGCTAATGTGTAATAAAAGACAGCTGTTGCCAGCATATGCTGTTCATTACACACCAGCTCCTCATTCACGAGTTTTGGTGCTATCACTGCAACCCCAGGAGAAAATAAGAAAAGATTCGGGAGGGCTGTCCGGGAGTAGAGACTCTACTAGTTAGATCCTAGAACAGGACTGCTCATGTTAGGGAAAGGGCTACAGGGAAGACTTTTCCCAAAGTTTAAGACCTTTGATAAGACCTTAGACATACTTCTTTTCACTCAGGCGGATAGTCTGGTGTGTCAACAAGGTCGATCCCTGAGAACATACATTTCTACATCACCTCATTCTGACAGCCCTGATCAAAAGCAAGTAGTCTTTGTGTCAAGATGTGGCACGTGTCAGGGAATTGGATGGAGCCTAATTTACTTAAATAGTTTTTTAATGTAAATGTTAGGTGCCTAAAACAGGCTCATTGCTAGTCTGGAATGGAAACTAATTTATAATTTGACTTAGTCTGATTTTTCTGTGTGTCACTGATAACCCATATTAGTCAGCCCATAGGAACTAAATATCTGCTATACCTCTCACATTGTGTTAGGCAAACATTTTCCTTCTCAACAAGTCAATTAGCTATATAGGAAAGGTAGCAGGAGAGACGTGGGGAGATTCCTTCTCTACACAGTGTTTGGACTTGTCTTGTGGATTTGAAAGATTTTAGATTTGATCTCTCTAAAATGATTTTTGATTCAGAAGGAAGGTTGAGAGTGGACCAGCTAAAATCTTGAGGTTCCCATCAATGCTATGACTAATATGATGAATACTCATAGCAAGAGCTATATTTTCAAACATAAACCCTAGTTATGGTTGCACGTAATTGGATATGACCTAAGTACCTTACAATCTGAAATAAGTATAGAAGCTAAGGGGATGCAAAAAAAAAAAAAAAATGAAAACACTTTAAGAAAATGATGGTAACAATAGAAGGGAAAGATTGAAAATGCTTGGTAATATTAAGTTTATTACTGTATTCCACCAAGAGTTGACCTACTACATAGCTGAATGGTCTCCACTCTTATTATTGATACTTCTCAGGACAAAATAAGGCTGAAATAAACAATATGAACTGTTGTAGGTCAGTTGTTAAATTTAGATGATAAAACTATGTATTTTTTAAAAAGAAAAAATATTTAACCCAAGAAAGAGCAAAGGAAAAAAATATTGTAGGTCTTCCACAGTCAGTCCCTATAAGTTGAAAACAAATACTTTTTAGCAACTCTAGAGAATCTTTTTTGGGTCTGAGCTTTCCTATGGCAGTCTTCAGGATGACATAAATGATTTAAGGTTCAGAAGTGACAAGAAAGGAAAATGTAATTAATTTCTATCAACTTGGTGGAAAGAGACCAGCTCTCCATTACATTAACTTGACTAACCAACAGCAAAATTCTGCACTCTGAGCCACTCCAGAAAATTTGTCAGAACATAGGCATTTGGTACTGGGTAATTCAAATTCCTTATAGTGATGTAGGCTTCTCTCCTAACAAATGTATTAATGAGGATTTCTTAAAAAAAAAAAGATTTTATTTATTTTTAGACAGAGGGGAAGGGAGAGAGAAAGAGAAGAAGAGAAATATCAATGTGTGATTATCTTTTGCACGCCTCCTACTGGGGACCTGGCCAGCAACCCAGACATGTGCCCTGACTGGGGATCAAACTGGCAACCCTTTGGTTTTCAGGCCAGTGCTCAATCCACTGAGCCACACCAGCCAGGGCTTAATGAGGATTCCCTTCGTGCATTAATCTCTTCTATGTGCTTTCCTTTTTCCAGTTTTCATCTATTTATTTTATTTATATTTGTTTAGACTCATTATGTATTGGTCTCCTGACATTTTATGTATTAAGTTGACAGTTAAATATCACAGATTAGCTGGTAGCATAAGCTTATATTTTGGGCCCCTGCACCATCTCTTGAGAAAGGCTAATTAATAGTTGTTAATTCCTAAACAAATAAACAAAATCACACACACACACAAACTCACTTGAATTGCCTAGAAGAATACCTAAAAAACAAGATGCAACATTTTGTTTACTTATACTTACTTTACAATGGTTGACTGTATCTTGGAATTTTATGTTTACATGATCTTTTTACAAAACATGGAGCAAGGGTGATATTACTTATGTCATTTATACTATTCTGAGATTCCTTTCCTTTCTTGACTGGAAATCTCACTCCACTCCTCCTAAACTATCACAAAAATAAATCATAATCAGAATTGAGGGTTTGAGGGTTTGGTTTTACTTGAGTTGTATTGCTATATATGAGTTGGTTCTTTAGAGATTATTTTAACCTGCTTTAAAAAGTAACATATTAAAGTAACCATTACAATAAACATAATGATTTCATCAGCATCTCAAAAAACTATTAAGTATTTGGGTTTTATATGCCATTCCATGGGTGTTATTTTTCTTTGGATTTCAGTGTGATTATAAATTGCTATGGTTAATCTCTCAGAGGCTATTTTTAATACAGATTAGATACGAAGTTCTTTTGGGAAGCTTTGGAGCTTTGCCACATGACATTAACTCCTGCCACAGTGTATTATTATCTTTTAATCTTTTAAACAGAATGCCCAAACTTCCCTTTGCCAGCTCTCCTTTGCCCTCACTAAAGAATGAAAATTACTACCTTTACCTTCTTTGAGGTGGGCCAAAGGCGATAAAGAACAAAGTCCTTTGTGAGTTAGGACATTTGCAGATGTGTCTTAAGGACCTTTAGATAACTGTTGCTTGTTGTATTTTTCAGCTTGCTTTGTCGAGATCAAGTTCTTTAGGTGACTTCTCCTGGTCTCAAAGGTAAAGAGATTCATTTATTTTTTGGTCTCTCACCAAGATATTTAGGAACACAGCTCTCCAGACTTACTGATAACACACACACAGAGTTACAGTACTACAATTTACATAAATGTCAGCTATTTTAAATTGTGACAGTTTTAAAAATAAGTATGTGACAAATGTGATATGTTGATCTTTATGCATAGTTTTTGAAATTACTTTTTAAATTTTTTTTATTACAGAAAGCTTATTACTGTGGAAAAGCAGGATAATGGAACATTTGGATTTGAAATTCAGGTGGGCAGTTTTCAAATTTTCCAGACTTTTAATGAAGGCAGTGGCACTAGTAGTATCATGATATTTGCAAAGAATGAAATATGGATCAGAGAATGATGGAGACTGTGATTTTTATTCAATGGTTGTCTTGGTAGTTCTTTATTGTTTTTGGTATCATCAAGGAAATAAAACATTGAAACATAAATAAAATAAAAACCCTTGAGACTTGCTCTACTTGCTCTGTTGCTTCAGTCTTCCTGTAAGTCAGAGACTAATCAGAAATGCTTGGTAACAACCAGGTCTTAAATAAGAGAATGAAATGCTGTTTATAGAAGTGCATTTTGTATATTTTCATTTCTGATGTGTTTGCATAATCATTTTTTATACTGTAGTCAGATTCTAAATCTATACTTTGGTATTCAAGAAATACTTGAAAGCATATATATTTATACACATGGACTGCATGCATTCACATATAGCGCCTATTACATTTCAAAAATACTAAAGATTTTATTTTATGAGAAATTTGTACTTTTTTATTAATGATAACACCTTATAATTATTATTTGAAACACTTAAGAACATTGTTCTACTTGCATGTTTTAGGAAATTTGGAAAACAGTCTATAAGTTTCTATGTAATAGCCTAAGAATTTCACTTCTTATTTGCTCTCTTTCTAATGGCCATATTTGTAAAGATGGTGAATTAGGTCATAGGAAATCTAGTCCAATTAATTGCAACAGTAGTAGCTTAGGTATTACCTTTTTTTCCCCTTTACACTTCTGTGTTTCTTTTAGATGTATTATGCACAATCATATTCTTTTACTGCACATCATCTCTCAGGTCTTAGCTTTGGTGCTGCTTTCAGAAAACTTGGGTCATTAAGTATCAGCCCCACAATTGGAAAGCCAGCATGTATTTTAAGATTAAGGACAGGAAGCTGCTAAGTAAAACGTGTTTTATAAGTAAAGAAACAAAATAGGACTCTACCTGCAATGAACAGGGAGAAGGCTGCAGGAGAAAAGAAGATATCTCCTACTTTCTGAACTCCTCTACTTTTAAATTTGGGGAAATCTATAATTCTTCTATAAGGTTTGAAAAGCATAGTACTCATTTCCCATTCACACAAAATACTTCCTGTTCAATTGCAGAAACTGTACTTTTTGTGACTGCTTCTTTTTAAGTGAGAATTATGCATAAGGATGAGCAGCCATTGCTACTGAAAACAGGATCAGTGACTATTAACATACCCTTATTTAAAGTGACAAATGAGGATTTTTTTTCTTACCCTTTCATGATGTAAGTCACTGCTCCTCTGTGTTTCTCCCTGTACCATAAACACTTACTCTACCTGGAGCAAGAGTCAAAGCTATGATCAGTAGGCCACAGACTATATAGCACCATGAACTTTTGTAGCACAATATGAGCTAATGGCTTCACCTCTGAACTGGAGCACGTATGTTATCCCTTTGGTGCAGGAACCCACTCCCCAGCACATTCCTTTTTGGTGGGTGCTTTCCATTACCAGCTCCATGCCATATCTCTTCTCTAATACTTACAAGATTTACACAGTCATTGAATAGGGGAAATGCTGTGGGAACTTTTTGAAGACCAGATAGAACCTCATGTACCCAGACTGTGCACCCATTGTTAACAACTATTTGGGTCCTGGTCTACCAGGTGAAGGGCTCATTGGAAGAGAACAAGTCCACTTTCCTCTCCAGTTTTCCATGGGTGCTACTCGTATGCTGCTAATGAGAATCATACAACGTGAAAGAAACACAGACTCTAGATTCAGGAACACTTGAGTCATTTTTCTCCATACTAGCCTTATGGGTGTTTTTAGGAATTTCAAATGAAATAACACATACAAAATACTTAGTATCATGCCTAGTACTAACAGAAGATCAGCAAATGGTGAGTGTTAGAATGAAGGTCATTGGTCGTGAGTAAAGACGATGTGACTTTTGTGTCTCTAAGGACTCTTTTATCATTTAGAGTGAGAACAGAAGAGAGAGAGAGAGATTGATTCAACTTATTATTTCTTTCTGTAACATTGGGACCTCTGCCTTTCTCTAACCCAGGAATTCCCTCTCTCTAACCCAAGAATTTTAACCTGTTGGCAAACATATGCAGGTTCCAGCTATGTAAATCAACATCTCCCCTTCATTGTACCCACTATGATCACTGAACAGAGGGCAGATTCTCGCTGTTAACAGAGTTGTTATAGCAGTGGTTTCTCAATGTGGTGTCAGTTATAGCTTTGGTTCATGTACCACATGAACTAGGCCACCGTTCCATCTCTGGAAAGGTCTGGGCTGTGGCAAGAAGACTCCCTGGCAGAAAACCTGTTAAAGGTTCCTGACAGAGATGAGAAATATATTATATGATCTTTAAAGTTCCCTTTTACCTTAAGATATGGGGATTCTAAACACCTTCTTAAGTGAATAGAAATCCCTTATAGGTTCACAAAGTCAAATTTCTAGCAGTTGCTGGCACATGACTGACTTCTGGTTTTGGAGCCTGTAATTCTACAAAATAAGAAGGAATGATCGTCAGCCATTAATTTCTCCATAAGGAGACAGTACTGGAATGTAGCTTAATTTTAGGAATCAGATGTTTAAAGGACTTACATTAGAATGGTAATCTTGAGTCTTAATGGAACTAGACCTCATAATTTAATTGTGTGAAAAAGAAAAACGTGTTGGTTATAAGTCACTGGGTCACTCTATCTAGCAAACATTTATCCAGTGCTTTTGGTACAATTTGAAAAACAAATTGCTTTTGCCAAATTGAGGCAAGAGGCAAAGCATAACTTTTTCTAATTTAGTTAGGTGATTAATGAACCAATGAGTATTCAAGGCAAGTGCTCAGAAATGAAGGCAAGTCAATTATAGTACTTTTGAATTAATGCAGGGCAGATTGTCATTATTTGCAGAACTCTAGTGTAAAATAATTATGTTGGCGTATCTCCATTGCTGTGTACTGTTTTGTCTGCTCCTGTAATGAGTACTTTAGCATGGTAGATCCTCAAAGAAATCTTTCTCTTTGCTCTTGGCCACCATTGTTCTACCCCATTGGGAAATGAGAAGCTTAATTTTTCTCAATAAATATGCAGTAATGATAGCATCAGGTGGTCTCATAGGCCTGATAATATAAAAGCTTGAACCAGTCCTATCCTACATTTTTTTCTCAGGACAGATGTTTTCAATGAATGGGGTTGGCTGCAGATTGTCTGGTAGGATAGTAAAATTCGTGTGCTTAATTTAATTTATATTCAGGAAAGCCTCTCCATTTGTTCTTTGCATTTACCATTATACCTCTTAACTGACACCATTTTAGTTTTAGCAAATAGTGTTTGAGTTTTTTCGAATAGTAATTATGTATCACTTTAACTTTCACAGACTTACAGGCTCCAGAACCAGAATACCTGCTCCTCAGAGCTGTGCACTCTGATCTTCAAGATCCAGGAGGACAGCCCAGCGCACTGTGCTGGCCTGCAAGCTGGTAATGTATAACTATCCTCATGTTAAGAATTGTCTAAATAGAAAGAAGAGAAAACTTTTTGATAGTGAAGGTCTGAAGGTCAGGAAACTATTGTCGTTTTAAAATTTCTTAGTGCCTTTATGTTGTTAAGGTTTGAGGCTTGCTTGTTCTTCATTTGCATGTCAGGAAAGATTATTTAACCAACCACTTTAACACTCATTCTTTTCTTGGCATCTCCCAGGTGATGTCCTTGCAAATATCAATGGTGTGGGCACGGAAGGCTTTACCCACAAGCAAGTCGTTGACCTGATCAGATCGTCAGGAAACCTGCTAACGTAACTAACTATCCGTCGGCTTCAAAAATGTTATGGTCTCTCATAATGCTTGTTGAGTGAATGAATAGACTTATTGTTCAGGATCACGGAAAGGCAGCAGTGCACCATAGCTTTGGAATTGGATACAGACATTTTTATCAGTTCCTTTTGTTTTTCAAGGTTTCCTCAAACTTGAACATGTTGTCAACATCTGAAGTCAGAGGACATCAATAGCCCAAACATCTGAGTGGGAGGGAGAGCGTTTAAAAAACCGTTAACATTAAATTCAATTAAACTGGCAGTCATTTTCTTTGGACAACAGAAAACGGTCCAGTTTCCATGGTTGATATAATCTTGTGGTTAGAACAAATAAAAGGTCAGCAGGTTGAGTTTTTTCATCTTATATAACAAGGCAATTGTTTTTCTCATCTAGTGGTCTACTTGGAAAGAAGAACAAAGTCTGCCCACCCTTCTTACCTTGTGCGCGCGCGCGCACACACACACACACACACACACACACACACTCTCTCTCTCTCTCTCTCTCTCTCTCTCTCTCTCTCTCTCTCACACCTGTTACTATTCCAAACTTACTAATGTCTTCCCTATTGGAGGTTTTACTGACTTTTCAACTATCCTTAGAACCTAATAAGACTTTAGTATTTAGTTAAAGGATGGAATTTATTCACTTGTTGAAATCATAATTCTTGAGTAAATACTATGTTTCCAGTACTGTGATGGGCTCATGGGAAATGGATTAGAAAAACCTGCAGAAATAAATATTTTTGATATTTCAATTATTGATAACTATAGTGAAGAAAGTACAATAATGAATGGGATAAAACATTAAGAGGGCTGATACTTTAGCTTAGGTGTTTAAAATGGTCTTCTCTGTGGAGGTGGACTTTGAGCTGAGACCTTAAATGAAGAGAATGATGGTTATATTAATTATTGGTAAGAGAGCATGTAATGTAAAGAGAGAGGCCTCTGAGTTGTCAAAATGGGCTTGGCGCATCCAAGGGAGAGAAAGAAAGCCAGCGTAATGGCAGTTGTGAGTTAGGCAGGGTATAATAAGGGATGAAGACAGGGGGTTGGCCTGGGACAGAGTGTGGGTCTGCCAGCCAGGCTAGGGAGCTTAGGTTCTATCCTGATTAAGGTAGCTCTTACATTTTTTCATTTGCTTTTCACAGCCACCTCATGAGTTTCATTCCTATTTATTGGTAAAGTGACTGAGACTTAAATGAGGTTTCGTTAAGATCAACCATGTAGTAAGTCACAGGGTTGGAATTTGACCATGTACTCTGAGTGCCAAGATCTCTTCAGCCACATCACAGCTGCTCATTGCAAGCTGCCAATAGAAAATCCACTGGACATTCTTCAGTGATTCAAGTCTAAAACTTCAAAGGATATTTTGGGTGTGTATAGGAGTAGTTTTAAAAGATGACTGATGGTGATAAAGGACTGAGTTTAACTGCCAGCATTTTCTCTTGGACTCTATATGGCTTTTACCTTGCAGATTCAAGCTTCTCTTTATCTTGAACTCATTGGATCCGTAGAGTTAAGCTCGGTCTTTTATTACCATCAGAAGGTTGGTAATAGTGGGCAGTCCTCAGACAGATAACTAAGAAATAATGGATAGAGACAGCTGGAAAGCCAAAGATCGGGAAAATGAGAGACAGCTTGCACTAATACTGAAGGGAGCAGGCAATCTAGGCCTGAGATTTTGCCCATAGACATCTATTTTGTGGGAAGGTCAGATCAACATTAAAAACCCCAATTGAACAGATTTGCAGGGCTCCTCACCATTGCCCAGAATCAAGACTGTCCTAATGAGAAAGCAGATAGTGTCTTGGCTGCCTATCATCTCATTACCTTGGGTATGATGCTATTAGAAATTGAGGAAAATTTAACGTGTAGCAAGGTCTCATGGACAAAACCAAAGGGGAAGGATTGAAGGAGGGAGGGGGAGAGGGCAGGGGAAGGTGGTGGCGGGAAGGCAGAGACAAATGTATTTGAAAAAATAAAGAAAATAAATTAAATTAAATAAAAGAAATTGAGGAAAATTTACCTCCATATTTAATTCTATTATTTTACCAGGGCTTGAAAAATTCTTGCATCTTTAGAGAGTTACAGCTCATTTATTAGAAGGAATTTGAACCAATACTCTAACAGTGCATAGGTGTGTGATTCACACATGAAATTTATCTTATTCAGATTGATGGCTTAGTATTTAAAATAAAGGCCTCTAATTTGTGCCCACAAAACAAATCAGTCACACAGGATAGAACAAATCTTTTTTTTTAATTTATTTTTTTATTTTTAGAAAGGTATAGGGAGACAGAATACCATTAAACTGGTAATTCTGGGGATTAAAGTTCTTGAACTTAAAAGATTTTGAGGAAAGAGACTCACATGAAAGTTATCATCTGATAGTACATCTGATTTTATTTGTTCTACTTCCAAAATTAAGACAATCTATAGAAATAAAGGCTCTTGGCATTGTAGGGAGGAAAAGATTTTTCCATTTCAAGAAATAGCATGTTGATGCCACTGTGTAAAACTCCTAGTGCTTGTTATTCTTATTGCTATATTCCTCGTGCTCAGCGTGGTGTCTACAGTCTGCATGTAGTAAATGTCCAATAAACATTCACTAAACAAAAAAGGTGATTCAGCCAGACCCCACAGGAATAGATTCTAGTAGAGAACAACCATCACTGCCACACAGTGGCTTATATAAAATGAGCTACAATTTACAAATTAACCAGAATCTTTCAGTCATCCTCTCAAGGGGACTTGTTTTTTGTTTATTTGTTTGTTTTTCCTATTTTCTTTCTGTGAGTGTTGTTAGAAGACCTGGGCTAGGTCCAAATCCTTTCAGTGCCAGAACTGTAACATTTATGTTGCTTTTTAAGGATAGTCAGTGCTCACATTGTAGTGCTTCATAAGGATGGTACTTGTCTGAATGAATCACTCATGCTAATACCCTCCCCTCCTTTCTTTCCTAAAACAGATTAGAGACTTTTAACGGAACAACAATTCTCAAAAAAGCCGAGCTTGAAGCAAAGCTGCAAGTTTTAAAGGTAATTTAATTTAATACAGTGAGATACGTTTTTCATCCTTGAGTGTATGAGTGGTAGAATAAAGATCTGTTTGAGGAATTTAGATAGCCCTTGAGGATGAAATGTCATGATGAGTCTAAACTGCTGAATTATCAAGAGCTACACAATTAGTTTTGCAGGAAAATTAAATTTTACAAACCAGTGCAAATCACTTCCTCCTTCTGTGTGTCTGTGAGCCTCAGACACGCAACAGGTGGGCATATTAGTTGAAGAACTTTTCATTAAGGCACCTATCTCTCTTAATTTACATTTTGTTTTGGGGGGAGCAAAGAAGGAGGAGCTGGCCTCTCTGTCATTTTTTTCAAGTGCTGCATGTGTGGGCAGAAAGACATGGCATTTTCGCTTTCTATCATCTTCCTCTGTGTCCTCCCATTCTGCCTCATTCTTACGACAAACATCATCTCCCTGTACTCCTGTGGCTGTCCTGGAATCTACTTTCAGTGCCAAGCCCGCTGTCCAACTTTGGAGAGGAAAAAAATACAGTTTTTAGGAGATAGTGCACAATGCAGGATGTTCAATGAAAATCCCCTGGGATGGCTCTTCGAGGGTCTTAACAACTTTAGCAATATGTCAGAGTATATGTAAAATTTTATGAAGAAATTAAGAAATGTTTTTGAAGTAAATAAAAGATTCTACAACTATTTTGTTAGATTTACTCTTTTATGACATATAGTTATGTTCTAATTATAGTTTCTTTACTTAAAAAATTAATATTTTTACTGAGAGTAGTATATAGATATGCAAAATAGATTTTCTATGCTACTACTACATTCAAATACCATGTTAAACTGTATAATTTTTAATAAATTATCTATATGTATTTTGGGCTTTCTGTAAAGATAATATCTGTTAAGAATGACATTCAGTTCTTTCTCTTACTGTCTAGGGTCTACAATATAATGATGAATAGACACTATAATTGTTGGCCTCCTGCTTTTGTTCTTGACTTAAGGGGACTTCTCTTGACCCTTTCACATTAGAAATGAGTTATCTCTATGAATATACTTTTCAGGTTAGAGAGGCGCCTTTCTATACCAAGTTTGCCAGTAGTACTTATAGGGCTTGTATACAAAATTTTACCAAATACTTCTTTTGCACGTTAGATGCATTTTTTAATTTTAAAAAATTAATTAATTAATTAAAAAATAAAATTAAATTAAAAAATAAAATAAAACAAACTCAATCTGATCATAATTTATATTTTTTATATATGTCTGTATATTTGATTTGCTAACATTTTCTTTAGATACTTGAGGGTAGCTCTACTTTACAAGTAGGATGGCCTGTACCTTCTCCCTCTTAGGCTATCTCTCCTTAATTCTGGTATTACATTTACTGGACTTTTAGTGTGAACTGGGGAGTATCTTTCCCCTTTTGCTCTTTGTAGAATTATTATAACTATCTGAATCATCTTGGCTTGAAGTTCTTTTTTGGTGGGGATAGTTCTTAATTCTGTTTCAGTTTCTTATTAGTTATAAGACTGCTCAGCCTTTCTGTTTTTTTAGGGTTTTTTTGATACAGTTTTATTGAATTATGTTTTTGTTAATAAAGTTTTTACATTTTCAAATTTATTGCATGTATTATTGCATGTAATAAAAATTCTATTCTCAGTTTTTTATTTTCTATCACAACTGATTACATCCCCATTTTTATTTGTAATATTTTTTTGTAATATTTGTAATATTTTTATGCCTTCTCATCTTTTTATTTCTTGGTAATTCTCTCTAGAGGCTTGTTGAGCTTTTAAAACAAACAGTATTTTGGTTGTGGGTTCATTCCTGGGTCAATGCATAAATGAGTAGATCAGCAAAGCAGTCTCTCTCTCGCTCTAATTAATTAAAAAAATACATTAAAAAACAATATTTCAGTTTGTGCCAATCTTTTATCTTTTGCTAGTCGCTTTTAAGTTGTTCTGTTTTCTTTACCAATCTACAATTTTACCGCAATGTGATTGCTTCTGGATTCATTTCTAAATTTTTACTGCCTAGAACTTAGAATTTTCAGTGCCCTTTTAATCTGAACACTAGTGACTTTCTTTAGTTTTGGAAAACTCTCAGCTTGATCTCTTCAAATGGTCAACTGATCCTTGAACAAACATGGATTTGAACTGTATGGGTTCACTTATATGCGGATTATTTTTCATCTCATAAACAGATGATGTAAACTTATGGCATCAATAAATACAGTATAGTACTGTAAATATATTTTCTCTTCCTTATAATTTTCTAAATAACACTTGCACTAGCTTACTTTATTGTAAGAATGTAGCATGTAATACACATAACATACAAAATAAGTATTAATCAACTGTTTATGTTATTGGAAAGGCTCTTGGTCACCAGTAGACTATTAATAGTTAAGTTTGGGGAAACAAAAGTTACATGTTTATTTGCAGATTTTTACTGTGCCAGGGTAGAAGGGACTCCCACATTGTTTAAGGGTCAACTATACCTTATTTACCATTCCCTGAATTATCTTCTGCAGTTCTGGTTAGACATATTTTAGAGTCTCTTGATTTACCTCCCAGGCTTCCCAACTACTCTTTCACATTTGTATTACTTTACGTTTTATGTTATTTTTAAATTCCATAGTAATAGCTTCAGTAATGTTATCTGTGTTCTGCATAGAATGTGTTCTTCCTATTAAAAGTTAATTTTTGATTTTCAAATAGCTATTTTCATGTTTATCTGTTCTTTTTTGTTTCAAATATTCTTATTAACATTGATATCATTTCTCTCTCGGAGGATTGTAAATATTCTCAGTTTAAAGTCTTTTAGGACACTCTTCTATTTTCATTTTATTTGGAGAGAATCCATGTACTGATTATCAATTTTGTCGTCCTTCTTGTTACTAAACCTCAGCAGGTGTTTTGGAGTTTAGGAGTTTGGAGTTTGCCTACTTCCCTTGCACGGTGGTCTCTCTTTCCTGCTCAGCATGATGGTTGGGCAACTGTCTCCACTATACACTTTAAAGCTTCCAATCAGAGCCAGGTCTGGCAGCATGGATGCTGTCCCTGGAGGGTCAGAGTGCTGCTTGGCTCAGGTGATGAGGCTGCACTTATTTACTCTTGCCCCTTTAGGTACAAGCTCTACATGAACCACAGCCACCATGAAACTCTTTCCCCAGACTCCTTCTCATGGTGGTGGAGCTTCAGCCAAGTTTCTTTTCTCAAGTAGGAAACTTTCTCTGTCCTGTGCTGCGTAAGTGCATTTAAACTGTGTATCTCACCATAAGATCGAAATTCCTCGCTACCTCTTTCTGTTTCTCCAGGTCCAGCAGACCTTTGGGTTCATTCCTGCCTACTGTCTAGCACATCTGTCCCTTCTCTAAACTTGAAATTATGAGATTTTCAGTTCACCTCTTGGGCCTCATGTGTCTTGGGTCTGACCTATAATGAGGGTCAGGCTGGCTTTCCCTTCACACAATGACATTTAGTTTGTGCATCCTACGTAAGTGTGCATTCTGTTCCTCAAAGACTCATCAGGTTTTCAGGGATTCCCTTTCTCATGACCTATGATTCAAATGTTTAACATGAAAATAGTGCATCTAATGGGCTAGTGGGGGAGTTACTTTTTTTCTAGCTCTGTTATTTACGGGGTTTGTAGTTCTTGGGACAAATTTTGCCACTGGCAACATTTCTAATCTGGGACTACTTTTGGACAGTTAGGAAAATTAAATAGAATGTTATCCAAGAAAGCACTACAAAAATAGCAAAGTTCCATGGATATATTTAGCTTTATGTGTGTCTCTTGTAGAGTGAACACATTGGAAATATATAGCCAATTGAAAATATTCAGTCTGTAAGAGTTGAAAATTGTTTCAGGAAGCCATCCCTTTATATGCTTATTGAACCAGTATTTACAGAGCTGCTGCTAGGTACCAGGCACTGACCTTGGCACAGTGAGGGGATGTCACCAGTATGATTAAATATCCCATTTGCTTTAATTGTCTTCTAATGACAAGAGATTAAATTTGTCCAAATATGCAACTGTGATGTTAATAGCAGCCAGAATCAGATTCTGAGAAAAATAGGGAAGCTTAGATGTAAACTAAAACCTCTTAGTCACTTGGACATATTTGCTCTTTATGCTGGTATTTTCTTGGTTTAAGTGACAGCATACTTAGATGACTGGGCCAGATCAAGAGATTAGATATTTTAAAAACTTTATTATTTTTTTCAAAAATTAAGTATGTGGCAAGCCCTGACTTTGTGTTACAGGATAAATAGGTGCAAAATACAACTTCCTCCTCTGTCTGTGTTTAGTTTTGACTGTCAAGCTAGCCTAATGTTCCCCTAGTAGACTAAAGACTTGCAGGAGATAGACATCTCTAAGAAAAGAGAAAAAGGGTTGGTATATAGGCCAGGTCTTGCTAGTTCTATACTCCTTGGGTTACTAACTTGGACCTCCACGTGACAGATGAAAGGTTTATGCAGATAAGAGCTGATTCAGGTAGCCCAGCAGTCTTACAAGTATAGAGACTACATTATACTACAGAAAAAACAAGAAATTAATAAAACCTGGAATTTTACAGATTGAATTTATTGCTTGCATGTTATACTGGTAACCACAGGATTGCTGTGAAATGCTACTGTTATCAAGGACTGGAAAATCTTGCCCAGTGATTGTGTAGTCCCTGAATTGAGACAATAGTCATTTTCTCCTTAAGCATTTAATGACATTATGTTTTATTAGTTTTCTTTTCCTTAGACCTTCCCCTTCCAAATGTACTCCCTTTTCTCTTCCTTTTTAGACTTTATCTGCCCTTTCCAACTGGGCTGCCTTTCCTCTGGTATTGGTGTCCACAGGCAGAGCTGAGCTGTGCCTGCCTGCAAGGCTGGCTATGGGCACCTGAAATGACAAAGGAAGAGGTGGAGCAGAGAACAAAGAGCAGGAGAGAGAATGAGCTTTCGGAGCTGCCTTGTCAGATACTTTCTGCCTGGTTGGCTTTCATTGCCCATCACCTCAGTCCCGTCTGTGGGCTAGTCCAGGCATCGCCTGCTGCCCTGATCCTCATGTCAGACACTTCATTCCCGCCCTGGGCCACTGCTCTCATGTGTTGAGCCACCAAAAAAAGATGCTCAGCCATGTTTTAAATTTAGCCTTCCAGGGAAGTCTCTCAGAACAGGCTGACTTCCCTCTTTTGGTGCAGAAAATAAAAAGATGCCCAAAAGAAAATACTTTCAGTGTTCCAGACTTAGAGGATGAGGATGGTGTTAACTGAGCAATTTGCTAAGATCTCGTCACTGTTCTCATCATTTTATATCTACTAACTCACTTAATCCTCATGATAATCCCAGGGATTAGGTTCTGTTATTGTCTTCATCCTGCTTTTCATCCTGCCTATGAGGGGAGCCTAGAATGGAAATCCTTTTCTGAACAGATAGTAAATGCATACAAACCTAAGCAATTTAATTCTATGATACCTTCTAAATGAAAATACATAAACGTCAGTGGTTCTATTTTCTACTGTTTTTATTGTTTCTATTGAAATGATGTCATTGTTTCAACTTGTTGGTGCTACTAGATTATTTCTTGAGAAAGTATTCCCAATATTTACCCTTTATACAGAAAAAAATCTTTCAAATGAATGAGAGGTATTTTAAGTGCTAGAGAGAAAAGAAAAATTTTAATGACAAATCTCAACACCCAGAAGTAAATTGCTGTCTTCACTGAGGTTTCCTAATAATTTGCACTATTCTTTTTTTCTCAGCAAAACTTGAAGAAGAAATGGGTGGAGTTCAGAACTCTGCAGTTACAGGAACAGCGCCTGCTTCATGGTAAATGTGATTTCCTGTTCAGAAACCACACTAACATTTCACCCTTTCAGCATTTCTGCCTCTAAGTTGCTTTAAGATTATCATCATTACAAGAAAAAATTGTCTACCATGGATAAAGAATACTAGTCTGTGTTTCTTTGTGATGACCTATATATTTAGGAGAGAATAAATCAAATAACATCCCCTCCTCCATACACATAACACATATGCACATAAAAACATGCATACACACACCTGTGTGCCCAGGCTTGCAAGAGGCACCTAGAGGTTTTAGAAGAGCATTTGGAACAATTGTCTGATTTAAGCCGATGAATGAAATTCCTGAGAATGTGGTTCAGGGGCTTCATAGTTCTGAGAAACTATTGTGGCTGGAATGATAGCACACTTCTTCAGTAGAGCTCCTATCATTTGCTCAAATTGTGTAGGTTACATTAATGCAGAGAACTTCCCCTTCATGGCCTGCAAACCCAAGACAGAAATGTAAATGAGCCTCATAACAGTAAATTCATGGTTCTTGCCATTTGTACTATATAAAGGGAAGAGAGAAGTTTAAAATCTGTTGATTTGACATTAGCTATGTGACTAATGTAACCTGAAGAATGAACTTATATGTATAAATAATTTATTGAAACCACTAGCCAAGTGGGTATGAACTATAGGTTTTATCTTCTTCAAATACTACCATGCCTACAGTCTCCATTTATAACATAGGTGTCTGTTAAAAGTGATAGTTTGTTTATAGAAAAAGAGATACATTTTATTTTTAATTAGGCAGTAATTTATGTCTTGGAGGTTTGTGTTGAATTTGTTTTTAAATCAAACATAGGTATGAGCTACTTCTCTTTCCTATGTATTTAACTTAATATTTTAAAAATCCATAATAGGTATTTTTGGAGGTGTGAAGATTGCTAGCAAGACAGAGGTACAACATTTAGCTACCTCTTGGATTTCTGTAGACTTGAAGGTTTGCAAAACTTTTGCTTTTACTTTTGGAGCATTCTGGAGTAGAGATGGGCTTTGTTCTTAAAGTCTATAAGAATGGCCTTGTAGAGACAAGGTCTTTAGTACAGAATTAAGCAGACAGACTCATCATGAGACCATTGTTGTACATATTATTTGAGAGATTGAAGGAGCTCTTCTTCAGTCCACTTTTCCTAGACCTAGAATAAATATTCAGGGCATGCAACGCTACAAGACAATTGCTCTCTAATTAGCTTGTTGCAAGATGAAATAAAGTAGGTTGTATTTCCAAAAAGAAAAAATATTATGATTACTGAGTGCTGGCCATACTCCACCTTGCAGATCAAAAGGAAAAATATAGTCTCCTTTTATATTGTCAACCAAGGACAAAGGAGAGCAGCAATAGAAGTAACACACAATGAAACCATTTCAGAATGTGCAATATTCTATTACTTTTCTTGAAGTCATCACAGTTTAATTACAGATATCCTTTGACATCCACAGAGGATTGGTTCCAAGATCCACCCCTGTGGATACCAAAATCTGAGGATGCTCAAGTACCTTCTATAAAATGCTGTAGAGTTTGCATACAACCTATATTTACATATAGGCTCCAGCAGGGCATGCCTATATTCACTTCATTTATGTGGGTTCAGTATAGTACTTGGTGCAATGGCAAATTCAAGTTTTGCTTTTTGAAACTTTCTGGAATTATTTTTTTCTCCAATATTTTAGATCTGTGATTGGTTGAATCCAGAGGGCTTTCTCAGGCCAGTATTACAGATAATCTCCTTTCTTTTAGCAGTATACCAGCCAGTATAGAAGCAAGTATAGAGGCCTGAATAGGATGTTGGTATGCAATTAAAATTTGAATTTGGAGAGCCCAGATGTAGGTTATAAAAGTTTGATGAAAATATTCAGCTAAGCAGATAAAATTCAATTTCTTCAAAAGAATTATTACTTTTTGAGGACAGGACTGTTTTCTGGGTACAATATCATTCCAGAGCATTCAAATACTACAGCATATATATAAGAAACTTGGGATATTGAGGCTAGATGATATCCTTTCTGTTTTAAGCACCTTTGAATTCTCCATAACGAGCCTACAGGTGCAGGTTTTATAACTGTGTTTCCCCTGCACTTCAGATGATATTATATTAATTTTACAATTGTTAAAAGACAGTAGTTAAAAATCAGAGGAACTAAATGAAGAAAATCCATAAGACATCATTTCCTCAACTATCTTCTTTAGAACCCCATTTCCGTAAAATTTTAATCAAAGGTTGCCAGGTCACTTCAGTTTAAGAAATGATCCTTTTAAAAATTCACATGTCACACTGGCATACAGTCAGATGAATGGAACTGTTCTCATATGAACACTTGTTTAAATTTATTTAATCTAGCATTACCATTTTCCTGACCATAGAACTCTTTTACATGGCAGGTAGGCCATAAACAATAGTTTGGGAAATTCTACTACAAAAGGTTTATAAAATGGCCTTATAACCAGTCACTTACTCATGTAAGTCAAGGCTCAGTGAAAAACATTATTCACCCTTACTATTTCTTGTACCCTTTGAAGAGAAGTTTTGGTGTATTTCCTTGTAGGAAGTGGTGTGCAGATCCATTCCAAGTAGACTTTGTTTTCTGCATTCTAGGTGACGCAGCTAATTGCCCAAGTTTGGAAAACATGGACATAGATGAATCCCTTTTGTTTGGGAACTTGCCTGGGTCAGGCTCAGCCCTCCGGGACCGGAATCGCTTATCCAGTGAGAGCAGTTGTAAGAGCTGCCTGAGCTCCATGACGATGGACAGTGAGGATGGCTATCAGGCATGCATGTCTGAGGACTCCGGCAAGGGCGCCTTCAGCCGGCAGACAAGCACAGACGATGAGTGCTTCGTCCTCAAGGATGGGGACGATTTTCTGAAATGGTCATCCTCGAGGAGAAACCGGAACATTAGTTCCGCCAGCAGTGGGTCCATGTCTCCCTTGTGGGAAGGCAACTTCTCAAGCATGTTTGGGACCCTGCCCCGAAAGAGCAGAAAGGGAAGTGTCCGGAAACAACTCTTGAAATTCATCCCTGGCCTTCACCGCCCTGTGGAAGAGGAAGAGAGTCGCTTCTGATGGGCTGTGATGCTGTCCTTATGAGCTTATTTCATATTTCTAGACTTGTTTAGATCAACTCCACCCAGTTTAGTGGGAAAGTGCAGATGAATTGCAAAACTGACATCCCATTTCATGGCAATAGTGACCTTTATTTAAAATTTTTCTGTCATAACTTTTGCTTCTTAATTTCTCAACTACAACAGCTCAAGTTCTAAGCAGACAGTCGGGAAATAAAATTGTTAAGTTAGATAAAATGACAAACTAACACAAGTGCTTGCTCATTCTAATGCTTCCTTTGAAGGCAAGAGTAATATTTATTTTGTGGATTATCCAGGTGAAAAATTGAGAACTTTGGAGTCAAGTGTAAATAAGAGAGTAACAATATAATTATTTGGAATAAACTTTTGTAAGTTAATAGATATCAAAACTTGATGTTAGCTTAAACTCAGTAACCTCTGGGGAGGTTTAAGAATAGGCAATTTTGAATGTTTCCATTGAAATCTATCAAGGATTATAAACAAAGATGACCATCAGCCCTTTTCACATCCACAGTGACAATCAAGTGGGGATTATATTTAAAATGAGAGTTTAAGTTTCATGAGATCCATGGAAAGATATTGTCTAAGGGGGGGTGCTGTTGAAGATTATAATAAAGTTTTTAAAAAAATAGGTAGCCTAAACAAAATGGGTGTGAATATTATTCTTACTCAATTCACTTTTTATTCTCCCTAAATATTGATGACAAGACCAGAACTCTCAAGATCTATAGCTTTGTGATTTTTTTAAAAAACCAAATCTAAAATTTGAAAAATTAGAGTCAGGAAAAGTATTTTCCTCCTGTAGATTGTTTCACAATACTCCTCACTTTATGTTATATATTTTAAATAGTTATTGCCTTAACACTCTTTAGCCTATTAATTATGTTAGTATTACATTACTTCTAACATTCAAATTTTTATTCAATGTCCATCAAAGTCCAAAATTTTTGTTTTTCTGGTGATTCATCTGCCCATTACATATATTCTAGAGTAGATAAATCAGACAATGCAATAAATAGCCCTATTGACTTTAAGTTGTGTGTGTGCGCGTGCACGAGTGTGTTCGGGAGAAACAGAGACATTTCAGAGTTGACTTTGAGTGGAACAGCTACACTTAAATAAACTGAGTGAAGAATGAGTCATTTGAGAAAATAATGGAGGAAAGGGTAAGGAAGCCCATAAGGTAATAAATAAATAATAAAATAAAAATGAAAGAGATTTCTAATTAAGACCACTTTTCTATTAATTCTTTGAACTCAGAAACATCCTGTGGTCTCTGCTTGAGAATCATTCATATGAAAAGCCGTGCACAATGCATTTCACGGAAACAGTAGCAATCCTGCCTGTCACTTACTGAGTGTGTAGTAGGTTAAAAATGATTTCTATGTGATCCCTGAAATAACCCTGTAGATAGGGGTTAGGCATACACATAAAGAAGCAGGAATTTGGAGAAGTTCCCATGGTCAGTGCCAGGGCTAAAATTAGAAGCCAGCTCTTCCTGGCTCTAGCTTATTATCTTTGTCTCTCTACATATTGTTTACTCTGTTGCTGGTTCTGCACAGTTATCATCATAGTCTACAGGACTCCCTCACCCCCAGCCCATAAGAATACATAAAATGTGCAATTTTTGATACTGCATGGATTAAGGATAACATCTTTGGTAAATAGGAAAACAGACACACATTGAGGGTACCTCTCCTGGTCTCCATAAGCAAGTTTTCAGATATTGGCACATTTATAACTGCATGGTTAGCGGTACATTTATTTTCAACAGGGGCTTGCAAATGGGTTATGCTTCAACTGATAGTGCTTATTTCTTATCGTAGACTGGAATTATCATGTTAAAGATATGCTTACTTGAATATAGCATTTTCTGTTAATCCTATTTCACAGAGTTCAGGGGAAAGAAATATCATGAATATTTGAAGAAAAATGACTTTAAAGTCTTCTACAATATGAACAATGTTTTGAGAACTACCACAGGTCTTGGAGAGCAGACTATAGGTCATTTACTTTTCTCGTAGCTTTTAGTATTAAATATAGTGCACTACTTTCTTATACTAAACATCAAATCTAAAAAGGCACAGGGAGGGGACAGAGCAAGTTCCACTATAGTCTGTGATACAAAGAATTAGAGTCAACAGTTAGCTTTGTTCTGGAAATAAAGAAAGCACTTTTTAACCAAAGTACAGGAAGGGAGGGTATGACATGTTTTGTGTGTTCACAAGTTGTGAGAAAACTAGTTATTTAGTGGAAATGTGGGTAAATTTTTACAACAACTTTTCAGACTGAGTATGACCTCATTAGGGCTTTGGACTTCATTTCTCTGATCTGATGCAATTTACTAAGAAAAGAATAGAAAGATTAAGTTTTTTTTAAACCCCAAAAGTCATATATGTAGGATTGCTGAATTTCATTAATTGACAATTTGCTGTGAAAATGCATATTCTAGTGTGGCGCTGCTAAACTAAATCTGAATGATGCATATTAGGAATTCCTTTTGTCATGTGGCTAAAGGAGAATCACCATGTCAAACAGGTGGGAATTATATTTTTGAAATAAAATATACTTTCTACTTTGTAATACTTTTATTTCTTAGTTAGATGATGCAGACAGTATTAAAAATTATAGTTTATACTGAAGAAATCAAATGTGGACACAGTTTATGTGCACTGATTATAAAGTATAAGTATTTGTGGATGTATATAATCTAAGGACAGTAAATGATACATTATAACTATTGAATTCTTCAGATCACAAAATTATTGGTAATTTATATTCATTTTCTACAGGATTATGAGCAATGAAACAAAATTTGATGTTTCTGAAATAAAGTATGCTATTATTCAGTGTTAGAACTTTTTCTATCTCTATCTCTAGCTCTATCATCTCTATCTCTCATCTCTATCTCTTTCCCTATCTACCCTAAATGAAATGGTTATTTTAAATGCAAATTTTTAAAAATCTGGGGTGAGCCCTGGCTGATGTGGCTCAGTTGGGGATTTTCCTGCAAACCCAAATGTCAAGGTTGGATTCCTATCAGGGCACAGTCCTGGGGTGCGGGTTCAGTCCTAGGTCAGGGCGCTTATGGAAGGCAACCCATCAGTGTTCTCTCTCTCTCTCTCCCCCCTCCCTTTCCCTCCCTCTAAAAAATAAAATAAAAAAAAAATCAGGGATGAACACTTGACACATTTTTGAACCTTTCAAACGTTCTTAAAAGGAGCTGCCCACTATTTGAGTCTTTGCACTTATACTAGCTTTCTTTGTTATTTAACAAATTACTATAAACTTAGGGGCTTAAAACATTATCTCAAAGTCTGTGGGTCAGAAGTGTGGGCAAAGAGTAGGTGGTGTCTCACAAGGCCGCAATCAAGGTGTCACCCAGGACTGAGTTCTTGCCTCGAGGCTTGACTGGGAAAAAGATTTACTGCTAAACTCCTTCTGGCTGTCAGAATCATTTCCTTGTAGCCATATGATTCATAGCAGCTTGCTATGAAAACCAACAATGGAGATAAAGACTGCAAGCAAGACAAACTCTTAAATAATAACAGTGTCACTACAGGAGTGGCATCCCATCACTTTTGCCATATAGCAGAACATAACTGCAGAAAGACAGCCTATTAACTTCCATGTTCTCTTTGTTATATACAAGAAGCAGGGATTATGCAATGGCATGAACATCAGGAAGTAAAGATCAGCACCATCCAAAGAGTTCGTAAATTTGATAATATAAAGATAATGAGTTTCTCTTAACTTTTTTGAGTAAAAATAAATGGTGAAGGTTACCATTTTAAATTGCCCTATAAAGAAATGGCAAAATTATAGGCCTTTGAAATTAAATAACCTGGTCAAAGTTGTATAATTAGCCAAAAAGCTGAATAAGAAACTGAATCCAGTTCTACTACTAACCTTCCAACTTTGTCTCCCAGGTGCATGAAATGATAGAAGATTTTAAAAGAATATTAAAGAACATATATGCATAACCCCTAGACAAAGATAACAATGTGGTGATGGCCAGAGGGAAGGGGCGGTGGGCATGGGGATGGAAATGGAAACCTCTATAGTACTGTAAACAATAAAAATAAAGAAAAAGAATAATATTGAAGAGTTAAGTAGTTACTTGCTTTCAAATTCTGTTCAGGGAATCTGAATGTATAATTCAGTGATTGACATGCTGGACTTTATCATTTCTATCTTGGTGCATCTTTATGAGCAGAGGACAAGAATTCCACAGAAACAAGCAAACTCATAATCAAAATTACAAAGAAATGAACAATGATGAGCAAAGGTCAGGAGATATGACAAATAGCAGAATTGTCATAACTTGAGAAACAAAGCAGTTGCAACAAATATGAAACATACATCTCTTAGGAATAGAGGACACATCCCTCAAAGCTTAATAAAGAACATCTACTAAAAAACCTATAGCTAAATCATAATAGTAAGAAATAGGAGAAGGTAGAAGAGGGGTTTGGAGAAATCACAATGCTTAATTTTTAGACTTTCAATAAATCTACAAATTTAAGGCAGCATGGTTTGGCAAAAAAAAAATAGATATATAGATATTTAAAACAAAAGAGAGTGCTTTGAAATAGACCCACATAAATATAGTCAGTCACTGATCTTTGACAAAGGAGTAAAGGCAGTTAAATGAAGAAAGGATAGTGTTTTCAACAAATGGTTCTGGAACAATTGGACATCCATATGCAAAACTTTACACATTTCACAAAATTAACTCAAAATTGAATTATAGACTTATATGTAAAACATAAAATTATAAAACTTCTAGAAGATAACATAGGAGAAAGCCTAGATGTCATTGGGATTTGGTGATGAATTTTTAGATACACCAAAAGTATAATTCATCAAAGAAAAAGTTGATACATTGGACTTTATTAACATTTAAGACTTCTGTTTAGAGAAAGATACTGTTAAAAGAATCAAAAGAAAAGTTGTAGACTGGAGGAAATATTTGCAAAACACACTTGTGAAAAGACTTGTATTCAAACTTTGAAAAAACCTTTTAAAATAAAAAAAGAAAAGAACACAAACAACCTAATAAAATGTGTCCAGGAGATCTGAATAAACACAACTCCAAAGATCATTAGAAGAGCTCAAAATCATTTGTCACTGGGCATTTTCAAATTAAAACAACAATGAGATATTACTACCTGGTTATTTGGGAATTTTCAAATTTAAACAACAATGAGATATTACTACACGGCTATTAGGATGACTGAAATCTCAAGGAGAAAAAAGAAACCCAAAACAAAATTGTGTATACCAATTGCTGGCAAAGATGCCAGGCAACAAGAAAGCTCATTTTTTTTTTTTTTTTTTTTTGCTATGGGAATATAAAATAGGACAGCCACTTTGGAAGAGAGATTGGCAGATTTTTTTACAAAGCCATATGGTCA